ATGTATGTGACTGTTGGACAACAACTTGTTGAAACACGCAATCGCAAGGATGTGTATTGGTCTAGGAGGGGAATGGACGTGCCATGTGTGTGATGTTTTGTTTTGTTTTTCGTTTAACCCAAATATTCCCTGTATCATGAGTGACTTTTTCTACCTATTAGACTCGAAATCTTGCGAAACTTCCTTTTGAGCGCTCGTTCTGAGCGCAGTGGTGAAGGAGGAAACCGAACTGAGGATTTGTGAATGGAAGTAGCGATGACTGCTGGTCGGATGGGGAGAAGGAGGTTTCCTTTGCCACGCTCAAGATTGTCTGGTTTCGTATAGCTCACAAACATTGTAACGAATGAGAAGGAAAGTCCTTCCTGTTCATCGACTTACTTGACTCGTAATTGATTGAAGATCACTGAATACCATGTCGCTAAGACCTTTTTTCATTAATAAAAAAATGTTTCTCAACGCCTTCGTTCTTTTGTGTCTCGGACCCGGCAGCGCGAGTGGGGTTATTGGGAGGAGCGTTGCAACTCGCAAATGTGTGAGAAGGTACTAAGAGAGATCTCGGTTCGCGAGGTCAATGCATCTCAAGAGATCTCACGGAGCGCTGCTGGTGACGTCAACACGGGTCAAATATCGTTGTCGTGCATGACGGGAAAAGTTCAACGGCGCAGTGCCAGACATGCCAAGCAAGCTGTACGCGGGCATGTGGTGGCGTCAGCCCATACATTTCTGTCCTGCAAAGCGTCGAAAATAGACGATCTTGGATCAAATATCCGGCCGTTTTTTTTTTTGGACAGAGTTCCAACCGGGACATGATGACGTTGCCCACGGCACTTCTCATTATTATTGTGTTCCGTCCCTCGTTGTCGGTGTCTACAGACGGGATAGATGCGTTGTATCTAATTAGTGTTAGTTCTTACTGGACTCGAGCATAGATTGAGAAAGGGACGATTCTTTTTGCATGACAACTGTGGCGGACTCTGCATCGTTTCCTTATTGAGAATTAGGCAGGTGTCGGTGGCAGGTACACGGCGAAAGCAAGACCTAAGTTGTAGAAGTAGTACAGGTGCATGTCCCCGGGGCAGAAATGTAAAAGAAACGTGCTACCACTAACTGAATTTGTATAAGTTCGCCGTATCGATTCCGCCATTGCTCACATTTCATCTGTCAATCCAGTGGTACAGTTACCGCAAAAGCTGAAAAAAGTTGGTCTCTATTTACAGGAATAGAAAATCGCACATGTGTGCTGTGCACTTTACAAAGACAGAACAAGATCAGAAAGCACAACGGCGTTATCGCAAGATATTGGAAGTAGTCGTTGGGAAGCGGCGGGTGAGGGGAGCGAGAGAGAACAGGGGGCAGAGGGCTATAAGAAAATAGAAACACACAAGAAAACCTATCATTAATATCGCTCTCTGTCTGCATAAAGCCAAAGCAGGGGACCGACAGCGAGCATCGGGATACCGTTAAATGTTGAGAAAACAAAAAAAAACACGCACATCAAAGTTACAAGTTTGCGAGACGTCCGCATCCAGTCAATCGTAGAAAAACAATGGGCATGAATGAAAGAATCCATGCATATAATCAGCTCACTCCAATGGTGATGAAGGAGGCGGTCAATTGCCCGGGAAGTGCTCCGCTCCCGCCTGAAAGTGGTCCAACCGGTAGTGGTGGTTTGGGTGGTCCCGGTGCAGCTGTTCCAGATGGGCATGACCCGAGTGCGGGTCTTGGTCTTGGTTTAGGTGAGCTTGCTGCTGCGGCTGCTGCTGCTGCTGCTGCTGCTGCTGCTGGAGTTGGCGCTCTTGCCTGTACTGGTCATGTTCGCGATGCTGTTGGTTCTGCCGGTCGTCCAAGCGATGCTCCTGCGAGGCGAAAGAAACCGCCTGCGGGTGCCTCTGATCCGTGCCATCGTCATGCAAATCGTGTGCGCGGGGCATGTGCGGGGCGAGAGGCGAGGAGGGGAAAAAGTTTGCGAGCACCGATTCTCCTTGATTGGCACTCCCGCTATTGCTCTGCTCTCTCTGGGACGGATAGGCATAGACGTGGGAGAAATCCGGGGGGTCGTTGTCCCTGTCACTGATCGAATGGGCCGCAAAGGCCTGTTCAAACGAGAGCTCTCCATGCTGCCTCGCCGACTTGGTGCGCCGAAAAGCGCCCTGCGCACGCACGGGATCACCCAGGGCACGTCCCAGCAGGAAAGCTTTCGAGGCGTCCGAAGCACCGTTGTGGTGTGATTCCATGGGCGGCGGGGAACGCGGGGGCAAGGCGGCAGAGGACGGGCTTGCGAGGGGCTGCGATTGCTGACCTGAGTTGGACAAAGGACGGGAGGGCGTCCACACAGGGGATGCAAAGGCGTTGAGCTGGAGATGATGGTCCAGGTTGGGCAAGCCAGGGGTGAGCGGGTACGGGTAGATGTCCGGGTCAACGATTGTAGGCGAAGCAGCAGGCATGGCAAGAGTGGGCAAGGCGAGGTTGGGCTCGCTGAGATGGTCAAAGTTGAGCGAGGGGATGTTGAGCTTGTCCAGGCCCGGGAGGTTGAAGCCACTGTCAGAGTGCGGAGAGGCCGGGGCAAAGGAGGCGGTGGTAGTAGTGGTGGTGGTTGGATTGTTGTTGGTACTTGTTGAGGTGGGCTGCGAGGTAGTGTTGAGGGGGTCCGAGGTTGCAGTAAGGGAAGTTGAAGTTTGGGAGGGCGGGTGTCGGGGTTGTGCGGGCTGCGTGAGCGGCGGGGCGGGTGCGGGTGTTGAAGGGGTGGACGCGGCGCGGTTCGCCGGGGGCGGGGGGGAACTTGCCGGCTGTGTGACGGGCGAGGCGTTGGGCCTGGTGGGATTGAGGGCGAAGGCTCGTGCGAAAGACACGGCTTGTTGGTGGTCAAACGGGTGCAGAAACGGGTCCTGCTGGTGGTGCGCAAACGGGTGGTGGTGCTTTGCGTTAGTGGCCGACATGGCGCGGCGGAGCGGCGGCGGCGAGGATGCCGGGGATGCGCGTGGGGCCGGGGACGAAGGGTGGTGGAGGGCGGCGTGGTGGTGGTGATGGTGGTGGTGGTGCGGGTGAGCGGGGGGGGCGGTGAGATAGTCGGCGACGGAGCGGTGGGTGCCGTTGAGAATGGCGAGATCGCGGAGCTGTGCGCGCTTGAGCGAGTCGCGCTCCTCGGGGACGGGGACGAGGAGGCACTCGACGAGGCGCCTAGCGCGGGAGAGGATGCGGGAGGCGGCGGCATCGTCGGGCGGGTCGACGACCTCGATGACGACGTGGAGCGGCTCGTGGAAGACGTGCTCCCAGCCGGGCTTGCCGCGGACGTCGGGCTCCTTGTCCTTGCGGATGGAGCCCTTGCCGCGGATCATGATGCGGCAGGCGGTGTCGCGCTCGAGGCGCTTGAGCGTGGCGCCGCGCGGGCCGAGCAGACGGCCGACAAAGTTGT